TGCCCCAAAATTTAGCTAAACCCAATTTTAGGTCAACAATGTCACTACTTTCCGAGCTAAATTTCTTGGGGCTTAGGGTCATCTCAAAACATGCAAACAAATGCAAATTATAGATCAGAAATCATCCTACTACTACTACTACTACTGCTACTGCTACTGCTACTGCTACTGCTACTACTACTACTACTACTAGTACTAGTACTAGTACTAGTACTAGTACTAGTACTACTACTACTACTACTACTACTAGTACTAGTACTAGTACTACTACTACTACTACTACTGCTACTCCTACTCCTACTCCTACTCCTACTGCTACTGCTACTGCTACTGCTACTGCTACTGCTACTGCTACTGCTACTGCTACTGCTACTGCTACTGCTACTGCTACTCCTCCTACTACTACTACTACTCCTACTACTACTACTACTATTACTACTACTACTACTACTACTGATACTACTACTACTACTACTACTGCTACTACTACTGATACTACTACTACTACTACGACGACGACGACTACTATTACTACTACGACAACGACAACGACAACGACGTCGTCGACGACGACGACTACTACTACTGCTGCTGCTGCTACTACTACAGCTACGACTACAACTACATTACACTACATTACGCTACATTACATTACACTACACGCACTACAACTACAAACTACAACAACATTATTACAACTACGCACAACACTACACTACACTAATTACATTACAACTACACCTACAACTACAACTACAGCTACACTAATTACATTACGCTACACGACACCTAAAGCTACAACTGCAGTTTGCAATTACAACTACACTACACTAATTGCATTACACACTACTGCTACAACTATACAACTGCTCTACGCCACACTACATCCAACAAGTGTGGGTGAGGTGGCCACTGCAACCATTGCGACCACTCCAAAAAACACAACTCCCCTTTCGTTCCATCAGCGGATTCGCTCTGCCATCCATGCATCACAACAACTCACCTCTCCTATACTGTCCTATCCTTAAACTTCCGCCACAGCCTTGCGCGGTACTACTGGTATTTACCATTGGGGTAGACCACATTTAAATAGCTGGGGTTTGAACTTACTAAAAGATGTTAAGATATGTTAATATGTGTTAATATGGTATCTAACCACTTTGGGGGGTATCACGAGTATCATATAATTTGTTTTCTTACCAGCAGCTACCGTCGAGGCTGCCCAGTTACCCCAGGCAACCCCAGGTTCATCGCCAATCTTGGAGACCTAGCGCAAAAACTGAAAAATATATCTGGTCAAAAAGTAGCCCCCATCAAAATTGAATGAAATAAAGCAATCTATACTATAAAATACAACCTAGCAGCTAAACTACTCGATTTGGATGGTGCAAGTTTAATGGTTCAATAAATTGGCTGGTTTTTCAAGTAGCAAGAACTATTCGAGTGGGATATAACCAAAACAAAAAGTGCTCGAGTTTACCCTACTGCTTGACACCCCATGATCCGTCCAAGTCGCTTTCCAATGAAGGACCTGCACGCGGGGTTGGGCCTAGAGTTGGCTAAAGCGGTTTAAACATGTTTGTTTAAACGATGTTAAAACCGAAAGCCTCAGAGCCCATTCAAGGTAGCGAGGACCCTACTGAATTCGTTTAAACATGTTGACACACAAGTTAAAACCATGCTTAGACATGCGCGCATTGAATTCGCTTAAACATGTCCAAACAATTTTTAAAACAAATTCCACGAGATCGTGGACCCAACCGCATGAGATCATGCGCACATTGAAATCTGTTAAACATATCTACACATGATTAAACAAATTCCAAGAGATTGTGGACCCAAACGCAATAGATCATTCGCGCATTGACTTCGCTTAAACATGTCTAAACTAAACACATGCTGCCACATGTTTAAACGAATTCCAAGAGATTTTGGACCCAAAACGCATGAGATCATGCGCGCATTGAATTCGTTTAAACATGTCTAAGCCAATCGTTCAACGTGCTTAAACGGGTTCCAACAGAATGCGGACCCAACCGCGTGAGATCATGCGCACTTGCAGAATCAAGCACTGAGAAATCTGCTGCTAGTGACATCACCCTGGTGCTTCTTTCTCGCTCACCAGTTCTTATTACTCAAATCAAATCACTCATGTGGGCATGGTTGGTAGTCCAAGGCCATCCAAAGGTCCACATAATGTGCCCGACACATACGATAGCAACATTAATTAACCATGTTGGTTTACCACATGTACATGAACCAAGGCGTGCCGGGAGTTTCTGCAGTTTTAAGTAGTATGTAAGGAATCGGCGGCGCAAATTTTGCTTCAAACAAAACAACGCAATTTTGTCCAGCCACCACTATCCCCTGTGCCACGGGTGGGGAAGTGGTACTGGTTCGGCTCATGGCCTGTACCTTCCAACACCTTCCAGGGCCCGTGCTTTGCTCGGTCACTGCTGGGATTCAGGCAAAGCGTGCAACTGTCAGGAGTTGTCGTGTGACCCATCGGAGACTCGAGATCCCACATTTCGCAGAAAGATGTGTTCAACAACAATGTTCAAAATGAAGCATCACTGCCAATGCCCGCCGATGTGGCAAAACACTTCTGCATTCGCCCAAAATATATGCAGTCTGTGCTTGGCAGTAATTCCATGACATTTGTTGGGGCCCTCCAATGATGGGTGATGGGACCTGCATTTCCAAGAATTTCCACACGAAGCTTCTCACACTAATTTACGCAGGGTTAGTTCTTGTATTCCGGAGTGGTATTGGGAAGGTTGTGGGAGCACCAAACCAGGGATTCCGTGGAGTGGAACATCAATTCTTTGAAAACTTCAGGTGTTAGATATCTAGGATATCTTGATGCATCCCCATGACCATTGACAAGAAACTATACGACCATCTCTGTGCCAAACTGATTCTTGAGATGCCCTCCAATAAACTCAGTAAATACACACATTGCTATGGAAAATTGCCCATTGAAAAGATGCTTTATCCTCTAGTAATCAAACATGGCTTCCTGGACTGTTTCCCAATTCATAAATGTCTTTTCCCATGTCAGCCTCCATTTAGTTCGAGGATTTCCCTGCTAACCATGTTCGATAACACCGAAGGGTATTGAAGATGGGGATTTCCCATAATTAGCTATGTTTGTTGATCAGAGGCAATACATTTCACTACCTTCCCGGATTTTCGTACTTGTTCGGATCTTAGTGATCTCCCCGCATTTTCCCTGGCGAAACTTGCACCTAAGACATAAGAAATGTGTGTGTTTCTGCTATGATATCAACATCTTACTCCACTTAAAACTGACCAAACATATCCTATAATATAAAAATATATTGTTGATGAACAAGTCCATTATTATCCTTGTGTGGTGCCACAGGGGGGGTGGAACCCCTAAAGAAATAAAATAAAATGCAGGGGCCTAAGGACAAAATGCCAAGAAAATGAGAGGGCATAAGGTAAGATAGGATAATCCAAGCATAATACATGACATCAGGCCCCCTCCACCTGGCAACTGTTGGACGTCAGGCCCGGCATTTTTTTCGTTATATTGATGTTTATATTTCCTTAGATCTTTGACAAACATTTGTACAGTATGATATGCATAATCATTACAGTTTCAGAACTTAATGTATACATGAAGACTATATAGGATTATCGTTCTTACTCACGATCATTTCATCATTGTTTATTTTTCACAGCACGCACTCCTGCTAGAATCAAATTGGATCGACAACAACTGCTGTTTCAGTTCAGTTTCATATGCTCCATAGTAATGTCCAAGTGATTCCAAATCTCTGGAAGGTTTCACGGAATGACCAGACCGTTCACAGCTGCGCATCTTTGCTATCATGCTATCTCTGTCAGTTAACTTGATGGGTTGGGCCCCTCAAAAAATGCAATGCACCCACAAAATAAAATGCTGGGGTCTCACCCCATTTTATTTTCAGATTAGCTTGATGCTTTTTATTTTTTAAAGGGGTCCTGCCCCCTCATTCTCTTTAGGTACACCATATAGGAGGATCATTATTATTATTATTGCTATTATTATTATTATCTCCAGTTCATCACTATGAAACACATTATTTGTTGGTTAAACCTTGGCTTCATGCTTGTGTCCCAATTTTGATACTTGCTTGTGATATCCACGTTGGCTAAATCCCAATTCTGGATGGATGCTCATGATTTTTTCATGGGATAAACCAAGATTTAGTGGCTGCATCCCTAGATTCTCATGGGTTACCCTCTGGTAATTTAACATAGCCATGGTATAGATGGCCCATAGAAATAGATGGTTTACCTATAAAAAATGGTGGATCTTTCCATGGCAATGTTAGTCACAACCAGATCTGGTAAAGTGACATAACTATGAAAAATCGCCATTTTCTAGCTGGGTAAATCCACTATAAATGGCCATTTTCAATAGCAAACTGTTAGTCATAACCAGAGGGTACAGTCATCAATCATCATGAATCACCATCATTAACCACCATTAACCATCATTAACCACCATGAACCATCATTAACCACCATTAACCAGAGGGTTAACTTCCAGAAAGTGTCTTTTGTTGTGGGTATCATGATGGATGTCGAACTCCGCCTTGGCCTTGGACCCATCCAGGAACGCCGCGCGCTCCGCCAAGACCTGGGCCACGTTTTTAAAACCGCATCTTGCGTCACGAAGGTACGGCTGGATCCATAGGGTTACTATGCTTAGTATAAGTAGGTATATAGTAGGTATAAATATGTGTTAAGTATACCCTGCTATTATAGTCAACCATGAATTATTAAATGATAGTTTGTTTAGAATGTTTAGATATTGAATGGGTTAAGATGTCAATAGCTTATATATAATAACCATGGTTGATAGAGATGAATCACGCTATCAAAACCATCTAACCATCAATGATAACCATCAATGGATTAAACTAATCAATTAATAGTTAAAGGCCTGTTTATAATTGCCTATACGATATGATTGCTCACTTCTTTGCACTATGTGCCCATGCTCCACTTCTTCATTCTCCGCAGCGCATGGCCGTGGCTGGAAACTCCCCTCAGATGCTGCGCCGCGTACACGTGTGGGCAATGGCCGTTCCGGGTGAAGTACCAGCAGCTGCAAGGTTTTGTCCTCTGCGGGTGAAGTGTCTCTGAGGTGACCTCTTTTGCTGGCACGGACGAGTCAAAGGACACCGGGCTTCCCCAGTAGGCGTTTCAAGCGTTCTTGTTGTTGATGCAATTCTGGTATATTCTGGTTCAAAGGTAGGAAACGGTTTGGCATATTCTGGTATATCCATTATGATCAACTAAAATGTGAACGGGAAAGACACATTATGAACTGAACACTTCATGCTTTATTTCGGTTCAGGAGGCAAAAACCCTCCTTGATAGGACAACCCATTCTCATGACATATCCATGTTTCGAACCCAGAGGATATATATCCAGTTTTCCCGAACTAAGCTGACCGCTTTGTAGCCATGACTTGGGAGCTGCGCAAACAAGTTGCCCTGGTGATGCATTAAAAAAACCCTATCTTCTAGCAACAACCATTGACAGCCATGAATCATCCAAAATTCATGGCTGGATAAATCCCATCCTCCCAGTTTTACTGGTTGAATCCGTCAACTTCCAGGCAGAATGACTAAAATCAGCCACTCTTAGCATGATCTTCAAGACTATATCAGTTTATGGTGAGGTCGGCCAGGTTTTTACAGCCGAGATCAATGGCTGGACGATCTTGCGGTGTTGGACTTTGTGGGGCATTTGTAGTTGTATTTTGCTTATTCCGATTTTTTTGATGAAATCCCCCTTCAATCCCCTTCATTCTGTTGGCTAAATTTCTTTTGTTTCGATCCCTGAATCACTGAATCCACAGAAGGATTAGAATCTTCAAGTTTTCCATGCATAAGTATGTATTCTCGAGAAATTCGAGAAACAGAATTACTTGCTTCTCACAATTCTCACCGTTCCGTGGAAGTCCCCATGAATTTGATCTGGACCCCAGATTCGGCTTGGAAACTGCGTTTCCAAAACGGGGAACCCATACCATCTGAAAACGATGATATCTAAGTGACACATACCAAATACCATTGGTGAGTGGGATTTTAAATCCCAAGTTCAAGAAACTACAATTTTCCGCAGAAAGTTACTAGGACCCCCCATATTTCTTAGGAAATACAATGGTTTGTTCCCATTTTCCCGAGGGTTTCCGAATTTTCCCATGGATCTTCCCGTGGTTTTCGGGATTCCGCGCGCCTTGGCGCGTCCCCGGTGACCCGTCTTCGTTTCCAGCAGACCCCAGGCCACCAGAAGCGTGGCCAACCAGCGGCAAGCCACACGCAGCTGCTCTGAACCTCGGATCGCCAGGGAAAATGATGACAATTTGGTAAAAACATGTTGCTTCATAAATGGCAATGGATATAATATGGTTTATAATGGTTAAATTAAGACAGTATGGTAAAACCACTATGGTAAAATATATATATATATAATGGTTTGATAGTGTTTAATAATAGTGACTATAGGCAGAATAATGGTTATAGTGTTACAATGGTGGTATTATAGTAAACTATATTGCTGATAGACAATCTTGATAATATAGTGGCTATAAGATGGTAAAACCAGCCATAAAACACATGTCTGGTTGGTGGTTTTAACAATCTTCAAAAATATTAGTCAATGGGAAGGATTATCCCATATATTAATGGAAAAATAAAAAATGTTCCAAACCACTAACCAGATGTTGTTTAATAGTGGCTATAATTGTTATATAATGCGAATAGTGGTTAGTACATGTCATAACGATTAACCATTTATACCTAGTATTTTGAAAACAATAATATTTATATACATTTGTTTATGGTTCGTGAACATGGTTATAAATGGTTCATCATGGTTAATAATGGTTAATATTTACCACGGTTCTTATTACAGAAAGCAAGGAATTTACCATGGCTATAAATGGTGAATAATGGTTAATAGTGGCCAATAGTGACTAACGATCGTGGCCAATAGTGGCCAATAGTGAGAACATGGTCAATCTTTGCTAGTCCCCAAAAAATCGTAATCTTTTGCTGGTTATTTTCTAGCAAAACAAATATATATATATAGAGAAATATATACCCTCCAGTAAATTAACATAGACCCTGGCAAACAGGGGTTGAAAGATTAGTTTCCACTTTAATTTACCAAAGGGTAAGTCTTGCACTCAGACACACAGGGGCTTCATGCCAATCCCATGTGGGTGTGGGGTCAGATCTCAAATTCATCACGTATCTCTGCCGGATCCTCCACCAGCTTCCCCATTTCTGTGGAAGTCATCTCAAAATCATCATTTTTTGCCTTACCCATTAAAAATGATGGTTCCTTTTATCAAACCCTATCAAACCTATATCAAATTAGATAATTTTGAATGTTTTTCTGTTGTTCCTTATATCAAACCTATATCAAATCAGCATCCCCCAACACTTGACCCTGCCCTGAGAGTTGCCAATCCAACGAAATGTCAAAACCAACCACCCAACTCATTGCAGGGGACAATAACGCACGCAACTACTAAAAACAATAATCATGATAATTACTTTACTTCGAGTTATCCCCACAATGACATTTATACATTTTGTTGCTGGCAAATCTTCTGGCATTCTATCTGGCATACCTTCTGGCATTTTATCTGGCATATCTTCTGGCATTCTATCTGGGATATCTTTTGGCATTCTAGCTGGCATATCTTCTGCAATCTGTTCTGGCATATCTTCTGGCACTCTATCTGGCATATCTTCTGGCATATCTTGTGGCATTCTATCTGGCATTCTATCTGGCAAATCTTCTGGCATTCTATCTGGCAAACATTCTGGCACTTTATCTGGCATACCTACTGGCATTCTATCTGACATTCTATCTGGCATACCTTCTGGCATTCTATCTGGCATATCTCATGGCATTTTATCTGGCATATCTTCTGGCATTCTATCTGACATTCCATCTGGCATTCTATCTGGCCGTTGAGGTCCAGCGGTGCACACTGAGCTGGGCAGCTCGCAGGTTGAGGTCCAGCGGTGCACACTGAGCTGGGCAGGTCCCCGGTTGAGGTCCAGCGGTGCACACTGAGCTGGGAAGCTCGCAGGTTGAGGTCCAGCGGTGCACACTGAGCTGGGAAGCTCGCAGGTTGAGGTCCAGCGGTGCACACTGAGCTGGGCAGCTCGCAGGTTGACGTCCAGCAGTGCGCACTGAGCTGGGCAGTTGGCGAAGAGCTTGGCGACGAGTTGGCAAGGTTGGCAAGGTTGGCAAGGCGGAAGTGGAGGTGGAGCAAGGCGGAAGTGGAGGTGGAAGAGGCGGAGGCGAGGAGGACAGCGAGGAGGACAGCTAGTCGAGGAGGAGGAGGAGGCGGGCATGCGCTCTGATAAAATCTAACAACCCTCACCTGGCTCGATAACAATTATAATAGTCATAGTAAGAACAACACATCACTTCTATCACTTTCTACTCCATGTTTTTTGAAGACTCCAGTTTAAAAAAAAAAAACAATAAAATGCTATGAACACGCTCCGCATCCACCTACGAACAATCGCGGTGCGGTCATGCGGCTGTCCACGGACAGTTGGCGGTGCGATCGCAGTCGATGGCGGCCATCGATCCAGACGTCTAAGTCGCGGTGCATCAACTCTTGGACCTTGGAGGAACGATGGAGCTACCAACAGATGGTGAGATCATCTTTAGCAAAGGTAGCCAAGTTGACTTACATTACATAATTTGGTTGGCATTTGGGTTGATTAGGGGAACATAACTATACATATAGTATTATATAATATTCATGGAGTCGGGAAATAGCCATTAATCGGCATCAAAAAAGAACGCAGCCAACAACAACTGGAAATATAGCCAGTAACTTCAGAACGAATAGAATCGTAAGCAAAGGGAACATCTATCTGTATCTGAGACTATCTGTTTTTTTTCAACATATAAGTCTCCAAGCCAAAAGTTAGTTTCGGCCATTTGATAGTTACCCCTTACCAACCATCAGTCCAGTGACGTCGCTCTGAAATTATTATCATTTAACCCGGCTGATGGAACATGAAAATGTTTGAGACCATTAATAGTCCTGGATGGTACCCTGTCAAACAGTTCAAGCACAAACTAGCTGTTTACCTATGGACCTATGTAATATCATCCATGTGTAGCAACAAAAAGTACTGAAGGATAAACACATACTCAGCCATGTGGACGCAGATATTTGAAACAGCCAATGAAACAGGGCTTACTGACATGTTTACAAACCTAAATCGAAATCTAATCATTCAACATTAAAAATCATGCTGGCATTGCCAGCAGTGCCCCCGGCGGATGGTATTGCAAATCCAATAGCGCATTATCAATCATCATCCCAGCAGTCATCAGCACAACCTCCGCAACAAAGTTATGTTTGGACCTGGGCATGAATTGACACGACAACCTTCCCTTTGGGTTGGCCGTCTTTCAGGCCTTTCTGGCCATTTGTCCCATAGTCATCTTCATCATCTGGGGCCTTGTCACTTTAGTCTGCCGAGGAGCTTCCTTCAGTGTCCACTTTTGCCCCTTCCAAGAAGTCATAGCAACGTAGCAAGGCGCTGCTATTCTAAAACCAATGCATACAGCGCCGTCCGCAAACCAAAATTAAACCCCCAAAAGCGGCACCCAAACGTCCACCGGCGCCTGTGGAGGCTTAGCTTTAGAAGCCATGCAAAAGGTAGCGAAGGCAAACGCTACACTTCAAGACTGACTGAGCTGAAACCAAAAACGCTGGAAACGATCACCAGCCAAGTTCTCCATTGTTCTCATGAAAGCTTCCAGTCCAAAATGAGGACATATGCCCCGTGTTGCAGATTCTTGCAGGTCGGGTCATCCCACCTGATCATTGGGCGGTGCGACCCGCTCCTCCCTGGCCGTTCCGATCATCCGGCAGTGCCACCGGCTCCTCCCTTTGAGCCTCCGGTTCGTGAAACTCTTGAAAGACATCTTGGATTTTTAGACGGCTTATAAGGAGTGCTTTGAAGTCCAACAACTTTCTAATCTTCTTATCAATCTATTGGAATAGCAGCCATTCCTTCCCTGTGGCAACATTATTTTCTTGACCGGGAACCCAAGTTTTCCCATTAAAGATAACAAACATCTTGACCCATCAAACCTACCAGTCAGCCAGGTCAAATTCTACAGCCATCCCTTGGTGCCCCAAGGGACCAGGATTTGTTCCAAGCGGCCATACGAGTGCCTTCCTGGAAGGTTTGCCGCGCTTTGTCGAGGCATTTGTTGTTCTGCTGCGTTAGGGCCAAGTTCAACCTGGCAGCTTCGGAGAGCCATGTGAGCGGTGCCATATAAATGGCAATATTGTCCAACACAATAAGGCCATCAGTGTAGTAATGTAAAGTAATAGCCATAAAATTATCAAATATGATGGTAGAATAGGATGAATTTTGTGTGCACGTAATGTATAAACAAGCGCGCACGAAAACAACATGATCAGGCCACTCAAGAGAATTCCTGAGAGATGTCTAAATCAGCCAGACCCTTTGGCAAGTCTAAATTGGTGGGTGGGAAGGGAAATTTCCTGATGGCCTGCAGCAGGGGTGAAAAGGGTCCCATGCATGTGGGGATTTGTTCTATATACATTTACGTGCATGATAATATGTATATATATATATATATTGAGACATACATCTACTTGATGAATCTTGATGATGAGTACACGCTGATTTGCAGCCCTTCCAAGTGGAACTGCCCGTGTTTCACACGAAGCACCAAAATCTTCGCCGGTCGCGACCCCTTGATGAGCAGCAGCTCGTCTGTTTATAAACGGGGTTTTAATATGTTTTGATCTCCATCAACTGGGAATGCTCATCCACTGAGTCCCCAAATGTCCCCAATCATGAGCCCAACAAGCCCAACCACAATCTGTTAGATGCGCATCCAATAACTTCCACAAAAGACAGGCCACTGCCCTGGCTTTTGAATCAAAATAGCTGGATGTTGGAAGAAATTTTGAGTCATTGAGTTTTGACCTATTCCCGTTCCCAAAATCATGTTACATTCCATTGTTGTTGGTTGACTCTCAAGACCTTTGCTGTTGAAACACCGCGCTTTGCCCCTTGAACGCGGGGAAGTCTTGGAAATTTCTTGCTGAAAAAAGGCACACAAAATCATCAAGCCATTAAAAATTAAAAAGAAACCGCACGATTCACCAGTTGAGCCAGGAAAATCCCAGGATCCCATCTCATGAAGGTTTCCCACTCATATGGCTTTAGTTCAAAAAAAAGCACCAGGTGGTAAAACTCTTTACTTCACAGCCAATTTAGCATGGCATTTTTAGATATTTTTAGCCTCTTGTAAACTTACAGTTCGCTATGGACATCACAATCTTTAAGTTCGGTAAAGCAACGAACTAAATGGGCCATTTTCTATGTCGCTATGTTAGTCATTACTAAAGGGTAGAACTCTCGATCTATTCGTATTACTCCATCTCTGGAGTCTAAACAGAAATGAAGCCCCATCTTTGGCAAGGGTTTGGTTCAATGAATTAGCCAACATTCCTGGATTCATCACCCAGGATCCATGCATTTTGCGTTGGCTGACCCCCCTGATCCAAGGCATCCAGGGCGCCAAGAGCATGCAGCCACCGCAAACTTGGGCACTTCCTTCCTTAGCCATGTAAAAAAAAAATAAGGCCAGAACCCACATGGCAGTTTGGGGGGGCCATCAACGCTCCAAATAAATTGTGGATAACTGAGGTACATTTAAACAGTTCAATGTTCAGGATAACATGATTAAACTGACTGAACTGGAGATAACTGGTCAGTTTCGGCATGTTTCGGCACAAAACTTGGCAATTTTTCAACGGTGAGATGCATACGAACAATGTGGAACAGCATCTTCCCAACTATTTAAGCATAGCGTTTCGAACTGCCAAGTTGATACACGGATAGTTCCACTTGTCAGCGGCTACGCGCTTGCCAGGCGGCACTTCAGGCATTGTTTCTTGCAGCGCTAAAGCCTCAGGATCCATATGGTGCTGGGCTGCTGATGGCCCGCATTGCGGTGTCAACGTGGCTGGCTGGAAAGTGCCGGTAACTCAATGGAGGTTTCAATGGGAAAATCGTCTATAAATTGTGGATCATAAGGGATTTTCCATTGCCACGTTTGATTACTGGGGGGTATTCTGAGACTAAGGATGGTATCAGCCCAGGTTTGGGTGAAGATCATTGAAATCCCAAGGGATTTGATCAAGTTTTTTGATGATCTTGGCTATTGACATACGCAAAGACAATGGTAAAGCACCCTGCAGCGAAGAGGCCACATAGACTGCAGCCGAAGCCTCCTTTCTTAATGGGATGACTGCCTACAACTGGTGGGTACTTCAGTAATTACTGACTATGATCCCAAAGGATCTCCTACTCGATGCCTGCACCATGTTACTCAATGCCTGCATATGATGCAGCCAATGCCATTCTCCTATTCATCTTCAGTGAATATGTGGAGGTACCAGTCTGACAATGTTGCAGCGTGATGATCACAAGAATCCATGGAACCAATTTCAAAGACTTCGTATATAATACAAAGTCTTCACACAAGAAAACAACAAAATGGACAAATGTAAACATCATAGTAGTGGTAAATTCCGAGCTTGCTCGTCATGCCCTTTCTTTTTCGTTACTTGCTTCTCTTGAAATCTGCAAGTTGCGGTTTCCTGGAGGACCCCCAAAATCATCCAAGAGATGTCATGTTTCATACTTGGGTTTCCCCACTTTAGGAAACCTCAAGATTGCTGGTGAATTTCCCATGAGAAAAATAACACATCACCAGCAGTTCCACGACATTGAGCGCTGTGTCAGATTGGCTGGGCGTAAATCAGTCAGCCACCATCTTATCCTACGAAGTGCTGCCCTAGAGTCCGCCAAGTTGGCTTAGAACTCGGCGAGCGGATCATGTATATATATATATATGTATATGTGTGTGTGTGATTTGAGAGATGAACATTGACCAATCGCATCATCATCAAAAGAAATAACACTATATACACACCTAATGCATGTATCCTTGGGATTACAAAACATGTTGATGACATATCCCACTTACATAATTCATATATATATATAAAATATTGCATAACAATCTAGTATATATATATATATCACCACATTCTATCCACTACTGTCCAATATTCTACCATCATATTCCAAAGATATAAATAATTGTATATACTCTAGTGCGTAATTCTCTTGTGAATTACAGTTATATAAGTACATGTGCAATTACGGAATATTACATAGCTATGTAATATGTCAAAATGTGTTATTCCATGGTTACATCTCCAATCATGGAATGTAATTACTGTAGCTGACATGTTGAAATCAATGTATCAATCAAAACTATAGCTTTTTGTTCACCATATCATATACCCTCTGGTGATTTAACATGTTTAACATAGCTATGGAAAATCACCAGTTTTACAAGGTAAATTAACCAACTAAATGGCCCATCTCTACGAAAGCTATGTTAAATTACAAGATGCTAAATAATTCAGATAAATGTAGATATAAACTTTACATGCATATATATATATGTAGATATATGTACATAAAAACAAATATTACAAATATTCACTATCATCTATCTATCCATCCATCCATCTATCCATCCATCTATCCATCTATCTATCCATCTATCCATCCATCTATCCATCTATCTATCCATCTATCTATCCATCTATCTATCCATTCATCCATGCATCCCATCCATCTATGTATCTACCTATCAATCTATCCATCCATCCATCCGTCTATCTATCTATCCATCTACCTATCCATCCATCCATCTACCTATCCATCCATCCATCTATCTATCTATCCATCCATCTATCTCTCCATCTATCTATCCATCATATCCATCCATCTATCTCTCCATCTATCTATCCATCATATCCATCTATCCATCTATCCATCTATCCATCCATCTATCCATCTGTCCATCCATCCATCTATCTATCCTATATATATATAGAGTTAGGCTACAAATATGACCCATCACCATGCAATCTGTTGAGATCTCCGCACCTTGCGGTAGACCTCCGTGGCACCGTTCCAGCTCCGTTGCCTTCGCAGCTCCACGGCACGGAAGTGGAGCCTCGTTCGACTGAACAGGGAACGTTGGCGTCTCGAAATATATGGGAGCTATATGGAGTTATAGAAACGAACTATGGTGGATTATGATGGAGATAGTAGAAGTTAGTGACTTAGTGGCATTTCATGGTGGTTTTAATGGGATTTTGATGGGATTTTATGGTGATTTGGCGGGCGTTAATGGTGATTTTAGTGGGATTTCACTAAGAAACATGGTGATTGTCATAGAGATAATAGAACTTAGTTGGATTTAATGGTGATGTGATGATGATTTAATGGGATTTAAGCAACAAACATAGGGATGATAATAGACTAAAATGGGATTTACCGCCTAATTTAATGAGGGGATATATGATTAATTGGTATAATAATAATAAAATAATAATAATAATATATATATATATATATATAATGGGTGGAATATATATATAATTGTGATAAATAAAGGAATATATCATAGGGTATAAATGGGAAGAATGGGATATGAGTGCCCTCCAGACTGACCGTTGCCAGGTTTGTCGCGTGCAGGGTGGGCCCGATGAACATGAGAACTGGCGGCAGCCACCATGAAACCTGAAATGCCAGGGTTATTGAACTTTGTTGGTTAACATCCCTGAAATGTCAGGGCGTTAGCCCTTTTGCCTGTCCTAATATCAGAAAGGATTGACCTTTCAAGCTTGAAATGCCATTGGATGAAGGCCTCCAAACACCGGTGTCAGGTATATTATTTCAGATAAACGGTCCAAAAAACTAATTATTTGAAAGATAAATGGTTACCTTCCACATCTATCTTCACTTCTCTCTCAAACTCCAACCAAAAAACGATAGAACCTGGCCATGTTGGGGGCGCCACAAGAATTTCTTGCTCAGTGGCTGTGCCAAGCGCTTGAAGGAGTTGCTATGGCTGCCCTCCACCTGGCCACCGGGGAACAGAAATTCCGGCCTCAGAACATTACCCTCTGGTAGTGGCTGACATAGCTATGGAAAATGGCCCATTTATAGTGGGTTTTCCCATGCATATCGGTGATTTTCCATAGCTACGTTAAATTACCAGAGGGGAAAACAAAAACGCAACTCCCAGCAAACATGTTTTCAGTGTCTAAATATCTAAACAGACATTTTAAAAAAGAAACTAGCCAACAAATCTCTACATACAAATGTAACTACATAAAGAGAAAGAAGAAACAATAACAAGGTCTTTGCATATCACCAATGCCATCATTCCCCAGAAACATTGCCACAAAGATACCCTGCCTTAGCGGCACCCTTTAATGCTGCAGTGTAGTAGCCCGTGGCCGCATCAGTTCTGGGACCTATTGGTGACTGGTGGCCCCGTGGGATTTTCCAGCCGTGTTTGATTGGGGGTATACCTCTTTTAGATATGGCTATGGGCGGCTTTAGATATGGCTATGGGCTGCTATGTGTCCCCTGCTAGCCTGATGAAAGTCATCAAATAGCTGAGATGCTGATGCTGGATGCTCATGATCATCATGATCCATCCCTATACCGCAAAGTCATGGAACATTGCAGGCGTCTACCAAAAACATAGATGATTTTTATCCAGCGGTTTCACTACCAAATATAGTACAGTAAGTATCGGGGATCGAAGTACTTGGGGGTGCATCCTTAGTAAGTGCACAAGAAAACACATCTCATAACATGGGCGATAAATACGGTATAAACCACCTCTCATTACTAGGATGTGAATATTTGATGGTAAAACCATATTTAAAAAACATGGTGTCCTGTAGATTTTCCACCAATCCAGCTGGATCATAATCCAGCTGGACAACTCCCAGGTTTGGGCCCATCCCAAACTTGCGTTTGCTTCAGGAACCCCAATGAATTTCCCTTTCGGAAAATAAACAAAAAACTATGTAAATTCCATGTATTTGAAAGCTCGTTTATTTAATTTTTGTTAAATCCACCTGCCGCCAAGCAACTTGTCACCCAGGTGCTGGGGCTGCCTCGGCTACGAAACCGCGGCTATCTTACCATCAAATTTTGGGTTTTTTCAATAATGCCAACACCGGATTAATAACCCCTCCCCCCCCCGAGAAGGTAGGAGGTACCTTCTGAAACACCCGTAAATAAACGGCCCTGAACCACAAAATTCTGAACCATAAAACTTTGGATATGGCTTACGTCAATTAGATCTTAATAGAATTCCATTGGATTTGTTAAAATTTCATGGATCAGAAAGGTGGTTGATTAATCAGGGGCAAACCATGGTTATTATTAATGGGGGATATGGGCTCATGGGGGGTACCCTTTGGGAGCTATCCAAACTGATGTTTTTTATAAAGAATTTTAATTAGAAATCGATCATTTGGGGAATAGTTGTTTTTTGAAATTTTCAATGATCAACTTAAACCTGAAGTATAACAATGATGATTAAAAAAAAGGTAAAAAACAATTGGAAATAAATAGAATTGGAAATAAAAAATGTTGGATAAAAAAATTGGATTTCAGCACTGGTGGTTGATTAATCGGGGGTAGGCCCACCGGTTTATTAATCTCGGGGGACCACCTGTTTTTAAATTACATTTTTTTTTTTGGGCAATGGTGGTTGATTAATCGGGAGGGGATTATTAATCCTCACTTGACATTACTAACAATCTATTTCTGTCACCATCTTTCCCTCAGCCAACCTAGTTTTAGTATGGGAAACTATATTGGTTGGATGTGGGTTGTGGTATATCTCTCTTTACTCTACTTGGGAAATCGCAAACGGCGCAAAAAAAAAAACGTAAGACACGCCACCAGAGATCACGACAATTATCCCCATTGGCTAAACATGAATCGTGTTACTAAGAGTACATTATCTCTTCAACAAACTGATGGTATCAACATGATCTGCTCGGCATTTTACGCACCATTGCCGTAGATATCAGCCACCAAGATGGCCAATCTTCGATACCCAGCAAAACACGCGTATTGCTGTGAAAAGCCGATTAGTAGATATGATAATGTTATATTATATATCAAATTATATATATATATATATCATGTTTTGTATAGCAACCGTTTTTCGGGTACCAAAATGTGTAGTTGAAGTTCAACACGTCCATTGAAGCACCATTTTTAGCACCCATTGTGGCCAATAATTTTGTGCCTTCAATCCGCAATCAACCACCCAGAGACCGTTTGATGATTGAACAGATTGATTTACTGTACGGGAAAACCTGCTGGACAGTACGGCCTTTTCCATTTTCCATGATACAAATAAAGGGGTTGCAACCATCAAATTTACCTTTATTTATCCAATTCTTGGTTTTGCTTTGCATGAACTTTGACCATGCCATTCTCTGGGGCATATAGGGTACCCTCTGGTAATTTAACTTAGATATTGAAAATGGCTCATTAACAGTTGATTTACCTATTCCACATGGTGATTTTCCAAAGTTTTTTGTATGTTTGCCAGAGGGTCTCCCGTATTTTTGCCCCAGGTTTCAATGGTTCTTCAAAATTCACCTCCGCTTTCGAAGCCGAGCAACGAAGTTCTGGAAGAAGCAGGGCAAGGCCCAAGAAGATGCAGCACCTGATCCGCAAAAACCCAGGTGCCCAGCTATTGAGGAGCTGTTTCCCTGCTGTCGTGCCGACTCGCACCTGAGAAAACGATATCATTGTCGCCAGAATACGTCAGCTCCCAACTAGCATGGACCTATGTCGGTGGCGTTTCCTCTGGTTCATAACCTATATGTTCACCCATGTTAACAAGGCTTGACCCCATAGAAGTTGGCGATAACAAAGTTAATATATGTTATTATTAATTACAGTAATTGCCAGCTGGAGAATCATCACAAAAATGGCAATATGAATTGGCGGCATAACATGCGGATATCGATACCAGCCGGTTATCCCCCACTCTATCCAAAGGGTTATGAACCACCCAGTGACTGGGTCCAGGGCGCCTTGTTTGCCGGGCCATCTCTTTAACCCCGGCACACCCGCGCTGAACTGATCGCTGTTCGATCGCTGCAAAGAGGGACCAGGTTTGTCGGTGGTGGCTACCCATTGGAATTTTCAGGAAGGTTTGTCGGTTGCCAAAGTCATGGGGCTACCTCCAAATCGTCCAGGTTCTGTCTTTCACACTTTAAGCAGCCACCATATCATCAATGATGTATCCATTGGTAGTAAACCACCATATCATCAAACCACCATATATCAATACAGGTTTACAGCCGACGTGGCCAATCTAAGTCCAGCAAATTGTCATTTGCTGGTTTTGTATATATATATATAGACTTTACATAATATACATATATATATATATAGATAGATAGATACACATATACACATATGCGCCGGCTATGCGCCGGCTATGCGCCGGCTGTGCATGTGTATTAAACCTATCTCTGTTTGTCTTTCTTTTTCTCTCTCTCTCTCTCTCCCATCTAAATATGCATATACCTATAGTCCTATAGTATCCCCATTTGTGGCAAAAGATCTGCCGAGCTATTCAACCAAGACCCAGTAGATTCAGTAGATAGTCGCTTCATCACAACTTCGGCCTTCTTTTACGATGCGTGCTGCCCTCGCTGCACGACGAGAAACCTCGCGAACGGCCAGAGTTTGTACCTGAGCCCTCTGCAATCCCCTGGAGAAATCTGGGTCGAGACGGTCCCTTCGATCTCCAAATCTGAACGCAAGACCCAGACCTCCGAGGATATCAGCATGGCTTTACCCTCTGGTAAACTAACCTAACTATGTTTAATGGGTAAATCCACTATAAATGGCCATTCTCAATAGCAAACTGTTAGTTTACCAGAGGGTGTCTGAGCAGCCATGAAAACTGTGAACCTGCACAACCCAACCAGTGGCTCAAATCTGCACAATCTATAGGAAAACTCGGACATCAAAATGGAAGTTTGGCCAGCAACATGGAGGAGAACATCCTTTTGGATCCTTTTGGATCCTTTTGTGCTGACAAACATCTGCCCAAGTTCATTGCTAAGCTTAGAGACCCTACGCAAAAAAAGGATCGACATGGATCTACAGCATATTTCCACATTCCCCATTTATGGCTGAAATTCAAGCCCGTAAACTACCAAACAAAGCCTTACCCAGAAGGCCATACACTATATCAATCAGCGTCCCATGGGGCTTTTTTCAAGCGAGAATCAGATTCTTTGATCTTTACCATCAGTCAAGGGGACAACAATTCACCATTGCCTAAGAAACAGTTATGGGTGGATCAATGACAAATATTCACAAGACATTCAACTGAATGTGCAATATACATAGGTATGCAAGGTCTAAAAGACGGATTCAGGCGGCCTAATTTCAAGAAAGTACCACCAACAATGGTTTTTTAACAAACAACACCAGGCAGTGCCAAGATTGTTCGGAAAATTGAACTTTGTACCTCCAGTTTGGATATTCCTTCATGGGCCATTGCTAGGTGTGTATCTCTCTATACTTCGATATACTGCAAATATACATGATGTTAGCTATACATATACACTGTATATATATATATACATATACATATGCAGTATTCAGATGATCTTACAGATGTGCCTGTGGCAAATAATCTGGTTGAAATGCGAGAAGATCCACGGCTGGGGTGCCAGTTTCCGCGACCAAAAACGTCACATCCCTTTGGGGAGGACGCGGGCTCGAGCCTAGTGGCGCACCTGAAATCGCGTCGGACGCGTTGGCGAAACGCGTCCGACCGGAAAACCACAGTGTGGGCCGGTCATATGGAGCCATAGGGATGTGTTTGGTAGAAAAATCAAAGGAATTGGACATTCTTCAATTCAATAGGCGAAAGGGTTGATTTTCCTTGGCCAAACTTCGGAACATGGGCCAAACTCATTTTAAACAACTCGTTTTTCACAAAGGGAAGCCATGCCAGGCACAAAAACGCCGCTATCTTCTATCATTGCTCAAGCTACCTGGAAGTGCAGTTCTAGTTATAAGTTATAAGTGGATATACAACCAAAGTTACAGGACCCCCATATCCCAACTTATGGATACTTATGGGGTGAATTTCACCATGGGTATACATGGTTACGCCGCAGTTATGCACATAAAAGTATCCTCAACCGCCCCCCCAAGCACTGTTTCCCTCCAAAAAATCATGGCATCAGGCTAACATCCGGGCCACAGGGCCCCATTTCGCCCTGGGCCCAGCAATATATCCTGGAGCAGGGTGGAGACTCATGGCAAATCCCCGAACTTTTTGCTCTCCATTGTATAGACAAGACTTCTTTCCAAAGCCTTAAAGCTATGGAACACATGGCCCATTTGTAGATTATTTACCTATGAACTAACGTGGTTTTCACATAACTATGGTCAATTACCAGAATGTAATCAGCCAGTACATACCCATATAATCATATATAAAGATAAGGTACCCTAGGTATCCCTAAGTAATCCCATAGATTTTTCCCGTATAAATCATGGCTCATTCTCAATAACCTTTACAAGAGATGTCAGTCACTCATAATCCATAGCAATCAATCCCAGACCAAAGGCGGGGATGAGCAGGAAACCACTGACTTCATCACCAGCATTTCAACTAAAAAAATGCAGCCGCAATTTTGTGGATGATCCAAAGTTGAAATTAGAGATTCCGCTTATGAGCGGAGAAAAAAACATGTTTGAGCATTGGAGTTCAAACTACCATGATGATACTACCCATCAAGATGGAGAGAAGTGGCCTGGCTTTTAGAAGATGAATCACAGGAACCCCATATAGTTTATACTGAAAGTTGGAGTACACACACAATGGATATGGCTATGAGTAGGATGAATCAAACTCATGTACCCAAAAAACGGGTTTCTTTACACACATGAATGGATATGACTGGCATGCATGCCCAAACCCACAGAACAATATAACGCACTAATTGTCATCTGGTAATCAAACATGGCAATTGGAAACTCCCTAGCTAAATAGAGGTTCATGATTGGCTGGGAAAATCATCGAACGGCATGGATTTTCCAGGAAGCCATGCTTGATGACACCTGAGGACAAATAAACCCCTGACAAATATTAATCCTATCATTAATCCATATTAATCCCCGCATTACTCACTATTGATAGATATTAAGCACTATTAATAGATATTAATCGATCACCATTATTGGAAATGGATGGATATTGGCCAATACGCATGACCATTAACCAGTAAGTAACTGGGAAATCCTGGCCTTGCGAAGCGCTGCCACAAGGCACCTGGGTGACCTGTGTCCTCGGAAGTTGGGCCCGGTCTCAAGACAATTTTGAGGATATCCATGGCGTTTGTTGCTGTTTTACCATCCATGGCGGTTTCCTGCGACTCTTCTCTGTTCGTGGAGATGGCCCAAAACTTGGTGATGTATACTTTTTTCCTGTCAAATTGTCCATCATGCGTATTTACTTAAACAATTCTGTATGGTACTGCCACATTCTGTATAGTAAATAAAACATGGCAATGGGCCAGCACTTAGATAATTTACTTCGATGATTTTCCCACGTAAACCTCCATGTGGAGGGATCTTCCGTTGCCACGGTGCCACGTTTGATGACCAGAGGCGATTTTTCCGCATTGCTGATAGTATTTTTTTCTTTTAGTACAAATGATTCTATAAATCCCATAATTCTTATATATTGTACACCCATCCAAGGTTTACGCCATGAACATTCACATTTGTTTTCTGAACGTAACAGAAAAAAATGTTGTTTTTTTCCCGCATCGAGACGGGATGGACTTAAAGCAATCCATTAATCCATTGCCCAATGTTTGATTGAATGTTCCATTCATAGACCCATTACTATGCAATGGACATCACAAAAACCAACTATACTGTTGAAGCCTATCCCGATTGTTGATAAGTTGAATCAGTTAAAGTTAAATCCCAACTAAATTTCCTGGTTAGATCACTTTCAACAAAATCATGGTTAAATGGGGTTCAACTACAATCTTAACACAGAACTGTTCATGGCTTGAAAATCACCCAAATCCAACATTCTCATGCTTAAATTCACTTCACATATGCAACTTTTATTTACGAACTTTTCATGGAAATCCTCAGTTTTTTTCAGGGCTTTTCACTAGCTTTCACCAATTGAAGTCCCCTTTACGGCCAAGCCAAGTATCCCCGGAGCTTGGAAGACCATGTGCTGAGCTGCCGCTGCCTGGCATGGGGTGCATCATGGGGTGCATTTTTTGAATAAAACTGATGATGACTGGTTAGTGGTTGACCTACCCCTCCGAAAAAATGAGTTCGTCAGTTGGGGTTACTATCCCCAACTGGATGGAAAGTCATAAAAGCCATGTTCCAGTCACCACCAACCAGATGATTAATGCTGGTTACCCTGAAACCTAGGTGGTTCGAATTGTTTAATCATGGAGATTAGTGCCTAATATTGGTTGCCCTTCAGTCAATTGACAGTTCGACCCTGAAACTGGCAAAACATCTAGTGGAAACTCCTCTTCCAAGCCGATCAATGGCAGGAACTATGTTAATTTACTGATCTAGTCTCTATTAATTTGAATTCTCTCAACCTACTTAATATAGAAAATTCATACCTTTTCTGTTGTAGGTCATAATCTTAGCACCGCAACAAAGAAACTGCATATTATAATTTTATGAGCACAAAAGGATACACACACACATGTATGTAAACATATAGTACATATCTCTATATATAAATGTATATACCAATCATCAGCATTCGGGACTGTCAAGGTGTATAAGAAAGACATGTATCACATGAAGGTTATAAGCTACCCCAACTGTTGGAAGGTTAGGACAAAACTTGGATTTGCCATCCAGGAATCCGGTCCAAATTTTCCAAAGATATTTCCAGTCTCCACAAATGCTGGATTAACCAATGGCAAAAATGCGCGTTCATTATCAGCAAATCGAGGTTTTCCAATGACTGTTCATTAAATCATCTTAAAGAATCTTCAATCCCCATGCTCTTTACCTGCAGTAACCAAAAATGGCAATGGAGAATTCCCGATTTATAGCCAATTGGTGGTATACCTACCCCCGTGAAAAATATGAGTTCGTCAGATTGGATCATCATCCCAACTAATGGGGAAAATAGAAGCCATGTTTATAAACCCCATTAACATCCATTAACTAGCTGGTTGGTGGTTTTAACCATCCTGAAAAATAGGAAAGTCAATGGGAAGGATTATATTATGGAAAATAAAAGCCATGTTCCCAACCACCAAGCAGATAGGTGTTCCCAGAGATTTTCGGCCTCCCGCAGCGATGGCAGCGATGTGGAACGCTGGGAGGCCTGGCTCAGCTTCCAGGGAAGCACTTATTGTTTAGCTATATTTGGATATGAATATATATATATACATACATGATATTGTCGACATGATGTATTTATCAAATACTTATGGTGTATATATATATATATGTATATATGGCTAGACACATGGTTTTTTAATGAAACAAATATGTACCTAAGGAACTTCAATGGCTTATGAAAGATTACTTAGCTAGTTCGGTGGGATTTTGCGACCGAAAAAACATTGGATTTTGGGGTTCCAAATTCTCAGCTACAGATTGGGAGGATAGAAAAATGGTGATACCTCTGGACAGATTGTAGCACTCACGCATCACTGGTTGGTGGTTGACCTACCCCTCTGAAAAATATGAAAGTCAGTTGGGATTATTCCCAACTGGATGGAAAAATAAAAGCCATGTTCCAAACCACCAACCAAATCAATTGATATTCAGAACAATGTAACCCAAAATGAACCATCCAAACCACCATCAGATCGCAGCCAATCCTCCTCACACGTTCCTTGACAAAAATACCTCGACATAATTGAACTACTAGAGCCCAACCAATATCACCAGGCGTTTTATCACGCTTGGCACATCATTTTATCCATGTGCATCATTCTATTCATGTGTCAACATGTTTTCATTTTTTTTGCGGAAATCATTTCATGATGGTCAGCCTTTTTCATTTTTTTTCGAACATCCCTTATGTTCACTGGATTCTCCCAGGAAGATCTACAAGAAAGTCATGGTGTTTCCACCAGTAAACCCGGATCTTTCCACCTGCATGGTCCGTTCTGGCATCGTCTGCCTGGCCGGTAGCTGCTAACAGAGAAATCTCCATCCTGAAGCAAGAACAACAACTAATACCTGATGGTATGCTTGGTGACTGATGTCCCTACAGCAACATCATAAGGGAATGGTTCAGTGAATCACGCAAAAAAAATATCTCCACAATCATGGGCTCTCAATATTACAGTATTGGGTTATACGAACTGACTATGAAAAAACTTCAGTTGAAGCAACAGCGACTTGCACCAGCCAATTGCAGCATAACATCTTTGAACCCTATACTGTATATTACATGCAGGTAAGTATGTAGATGTGTACAATATTTATATATATATATAATTATATATATATATATACAACAAGAAATACAAAAAAAAAAAACTGATAGGCTGGTGCTCTGAGCCGCTGACCATCTACTAGCTGCTACTAGCTCATGGATCTATAAACCAGCCGCAAAAACTAACACACAATATCCCTACAAGGCCCTACAATTAATAAAAACTGACAATTCTATACACTGCCAAAACAGGGGCAGGTGAAGCCCATCAGTATCTTGGTGGAGGCCCACACCAAATGCTTCACCTCTTAGAGGCGAAACATTTCCAGTGGACTCACCACACAACAGGTAGTCTCCAAAGCTTTGAGCGGACGTTTGACACCAGGGACTTTGATCTATCCTTTCACAAGGTCACCACCATCATCACCCATTTTTACGTCTGATCTTTCTGGTTCTTACTTCACATCTTTACAAACTATGGCTAGTAACTATGGCAGCTATACCCTATCCGATGCTGCACCTAACCCCGGGAGGATTTTTGCTCCACTGCTCGCGGAGCCGTTTCTCATCCACAGGCGAGTTCCGCGCAACTCGCCCCCCTGCAACGGATCGCCCGGGCGATTCGTCATAGCGCGTCATTGCGTTGGCCCTGGGGAATTGGAGGATGGGAGAAATGGGAGGAAACTCCTTACTACTTAGTGGTTCACTGAAGAAATGAGCCCAACAAAAACCAAGTTTTTCCTGTGGGATAAGTAGGGTCAGTACTAATGTTTTTTCAGGTTGTAACCCACACACACCAACTAAAGTGAAGCACCAAATCACGAGATTTTTAAGTAGTAAAGACCCTGCAGATCCATGTATCCAGATCTTCCCTGAAACCCATCCACTGAATCCTGGCAACTTTTGCCTAAGGTTGCCCCCATCACTGGACCAATTCCAGTTCAGAGGATTCTGAAGGCTGCCCCGCAAAATCCTGGGAAAATCTTGATCTGTTCATTTTGGGATAGGAACTTAAGCATGGGAGAGAAGGGGCTAAATATGACAAACCCCATACAAAACAAATGATCTTTATGATATCGATTATAAGACCTCTGGCAAGACGTGGCACAACCCCTTATTCTTTGGGTTTGGCACTGGGTTCCGATTTGTCCCATACCATCCCATGTATACCATGATACTATGTTCACCTGCGCCTACCCCAGGCGGATTTTTGGACAGGTAAAAGTACACATACCATACAATAGTGATATGGATATGAAAACAACTGGTTTCCACCGAAAAGCACCTGGGTTCCAGCTCGAGTTAAACTCGCAAAGGATGAGCCAAGCAGTAAACAATCCTGTTCCACAGCTCCTGAATAAGTAGTGGCATAAGCATCTCGTCTCAAAGTAGAATAATGCCAAGATCATAGAAATCTAAGGCTATCTGAAGGTAACCCCTCCCATCATAGAAGGCTAATCAATTCCTGAATGCACAGGGTTGTTTAACAATTTAACAACCTAAAATCTCAAATATGGCTATGGTTGGGGTTATGACGGTCATGACCTGGGTGGTTTTTTTTGCCTTGGGTCACTGCAATCCCCTTAGGGAAATAACCCTAGGGACGGTCGGAATTCGGGATCTTGAACTCTGCAGCCACTCCAAATCCATGGCTACAAACAATCGCACAAACCGGGCAATGGCTAATCTTAGATACCCCATACAACAAGAGCTAATTTGAGCTAATCCTTTCCCAACAGTCAATACCTCCGGATAGACCATGGATGACCATGGCTTAGTATCCAATCCATTCATTTTGGGGCCTGTATGCAAATTATTTGATATTGGAGGGATTGGGATTACGGTGTCGTGGCATTTTGTGTAGCAAATAGCTTTAGTATTAATTATTATATATCCCTGAAACATCCTAAAACTATATTTTGCAAATAGCTGTAGGCTGCGATTTGCAGGCCCCCCCAAAAAATAAAAACCAGGCCCCTATATAGATTCTCCAAGTAGTGGATGTCCCATTCTTCGACAAACACATCAGAAAATCAAGGCATAGACTAGATATATTTTTCCATGGCCAGGGCCCCAAAAATTGCCCAATTTCACCCGCAACGAAACCCCAGGATCCCCGGGACCACCCCGGCCTATGGATGGTGGCGATTTCCACGTCGCAGGGGCTTGCTTCGTCAAGCCCGGTGGTGGAGCCGGAGAAGCCGCAGCAACGGACCCCCCAGGAGGGCCCTTCACGGGAGGTGCTTTCTGGGGAGTTTTCGGGGCAGGCGGAGCCGGATAGTTCCTCAGTTTTGCAGGGGCTGTTTGACTTTTTTGTTTTTGAAAATTCAAAAATATCAAACGTAGGGTTTGAAGCAACAAATTTGAATAATTAATCATAGGAGAGATAGGATGGGGTCGACCATGTAGCATGTACAACTGGTTTTCAAAGTTTCAAAGGCGAGCAAATGAAGTTTTGCTTGGTACTAAAGTATCCATTTTTTGGGGTCGATCATGTTGAACCAACACCAATTTCATTAAATCCGATGGCCAACTTCAATCAAATTTGTGAAGACTTTTAGCAACAAACGATATTCTACCCTCCGAGAATCAAACATGGCAATGGGAAATGCCCCATAAAATAGTTATTTCGATAGGGAGGTAATCTGCAGATGGGTGAGTTTCAATTGAAATGTTTGATTAACAGAGAGTATGCGGTTTTGGAGGACCCTGGGCGGCATGGGACGGCTTTGAATTTTGCAATTCAAGGACGTAGTCGGAATCCGAGGGCATCTGCTGGCTTAACAGGTAGCTATGGTGGGCAACAGCCCTATACATAAGCCTTTACTTGTTACTCTCCCCATAAGTATGAATCCTCCGAAATGTTATCCACACTTGGTAGTTCATTCCGCTTAGTAAGTTATATCCTGGTTACAAGTGGGATAAGTAGCGTTGATCCGCATATAAGCCGGGTGAAACAACCTACTTACTAAGTGGGATAGACCACCATACCTGGGGATTAATTGGGTGATTTATTGAATGCTATTGGATAATGATCAATTTTATTCAATATCAATCAATATTGATATCAATATAGCAGTGTTCAAAACCCTCTGTTGTCCCTCCAAAAACTGGCTGGTCACTAGGATTTCCCACAATGAACTAATTATGATGACCCCCGATCTATGTGTGTTTATATTGGCGAGTGGAATCCCCCAAAACTCCGCGTTGCGCCGAGCTGCGGAGGAGGCTTCACCGCCAAATTTTTGCTGGCACCTCTCCCATCTCTGTCCTGGCTGATGGGGAAACCCCCATGGATTTTCCCCTGGTTGACCACATGAACTGCTGGGGAAACCACCATTGCTTTTCCACATCTTTCTCTATGCTTACCCTCTATGTTTACTTTAGGGTAGCTGGAAATGGCAGAAGTTCATGTGGAACATGAGGCGTTCGCATGCAGAAACGGATGAAACGTTCAAACATTGAATCTTTTAATGTGGAACATGAGGTTTGAAGCCGCTAGAATCTAGGGTTTAGTTCTCCCCCCATGTTCATGTCTTCCCGAAATAGGACAAACACCTACAGGTTCCTTGGTCACCAAACAATGGAATATGTTGGAGGGGGTTAGGGGTTTAGATGGGGATCTAACATATGGCTTAAGAAATGGGTGTACATCCAATTCGTTTGTGATTCATCCCGGAAGGTGATCACGTGATCCTGTGATCGACCAACTGGTATCGGGGGTGACCTGAACACCATTGGGTCGCCAACCATTGGGGGCTCGGAATTTGCTCATCGCGAATGGTCACTATTTGCGGTGGAACCCCTGATGAAATCGACCTGAGTTGATTGATGCGCGATTGACACTAAAAAAACTGTAGGATAGAAGAGTGGTGGGGGGTCTTGCACCAATCTGACCAGTGAAAGTAGAAAAATCATGCAGCTATCCCAAGCTAGTTGGATTCAGGTCACAGGCCCATCTATTTGAGCAGTGGCTGCAAGACACCCCTGTTGGTTGATGATTAGTTCGTGGATTTTACTTATTTTTCTTGATATATCTCAAGATATATTCGGGGTGGTCATTGTCTATGTGGAAATACCGTTCTTAGTCAACCTCAGGATCAAATGGAACCATGTTGGTCATCATGACCTGAATCCCACAGCCAGGGGTTTTAGCCTTCACCGATGCTTGATGGTCAGTGTGTAGTGTGTACCGCCATTGATGGCAAAATGTACTAAGCCCCTCAACCAGGGCTAGGTCTCTCGAGTGATCTAACTGGGCAATCTACCATTCATTGTTGCCATGCATGGACATGTGATGCTCCCATTCAATATTGTTTGATCTTCTGTTGCCATCATATGTTTCCTTGGCTACCTTTGAGGCAGAAACTTGGAAATTTGCGGGGAAGTTCATCCTACGAATCGTCAGTGATCAATATTATCCCTGGTTCTCGGATTCGTCCCCGATAAAAGTGGGTTATCCCATTTATACATAGGTGAACTCATCCCAGAAACACTATGAGCAGTTACGAAACTCGGTTGGTTTTCGTTGGGAACCCAAACTGCGACCCCGTCAGCCAGGGTTCTTTCCATTTCGCATAGGTATATTCGGTCTTGGATGGCACGGGAATGGGTTCGAACTTCGCCTCCATGAAATTGAACCTGGGAATGCAACCACCGAGCCAGTCTTATTGATGGTATCATGAAACAACATGTTATCTCTCAACTTGTTCATGGGCATTTCCATCTATTTATATATATATATAGTTATATATATATTAATATTTTATAATATATAAATAAATACTAACTCTCAAATTTTGCCAACGAACCTCCCAAACTTCTTTGATTAAATCTGCATTTTTGCCGATGAGATTCCCTTTGTCGGTCGGGCGCCAAAATTTGTAGCTACACCATCCAACAATGTCTGCGAGACATTCCTAGTTATCCCAATTATCCCCATTGTGTGGAGTTAATGTCAAACCAGGATTAAACTATTTGATTGGGGGTACCGCGTGAATACTGAATTATCGCTATTTGTCAAGACGAGGTTAGCATAGTTGCGCCTAATTGTGGGCTAAATTCCGATTCTAATCCACCTCAACAAAATCCGCCCCCCTGCCTCCAGATCGTGCCGATTCGACCAACCTCGCCTTAAAGATAAATGGTTCAATAAACCTTCATTGTTGTTAGGCTCTTTATCATTCCTTATCCTTGGGGGGCTGCCAATTATGTTCTATAAAACATCTGCAAAAAGTGTTTGTTTTAGACCAGTTCGGGTGAAAACAGACATTTTTTTTTGGGGGGGGTGGTTCAATCCCAGTACCCTTACCCTCTGGTAAACTAACGTAACTATGGAAAATCACCGTTTCAAATGGGCAAATTCATTATAAATGGCAATAGTTTTTTGTATGTTTACCAGAAGGTAAACCGCCTGGCCCCCACCAAGGCTTCGCAACATCTTCTCATCGTTCAACACCAGGGTGTTCACGTGCTGGTAGCCCTGCCAGTTGTTCGACTGGACGTAGTCAGCATAACCTAGGGGAAATTCATGCTGTTGGCACCCTCTGGTAAACATTAAAAAAAATATTGAACATGGTGATTTATGGTGGATTTACAAAAAAAAATGTGATTTTCCATAGTTATGTTAGTTTACCAGAGGGTAGTGCCCCATAGAGTGGCGAAGTTGGTTCTTAAAGCCAGCTGACTAGGATTTGTAGCACATATATAGAAATGTGTGTTTGTGACATTCCTGTGAACTATAATGGTCTGCATTAATCTATAATAAATTATAATAAATAATAATCAGCATACTTATTAATGTATGCTTGGGTCCAAATATGTTGTCGCCCTCAAGTTGATCAATTGTAAAATAAACTAGTGGTTTATCAATGTTAGTTATCATCAAATATAGCTTATAGATCACCATCATTATTAAATATATTTATACTACTTATAGATTAGCCACCATAGATCACCCATCTATACCATAGCTATGCAAACGTTTACCAAAGGAGAAATGACATCACCATTAATCATCTTTAATCATCATTAAATCAACATTAATCACCATTTACCATCATTAACCACCATTAATCACCATTAAACACCATTAACCACCATTAACCATCATTAACCACCATTAATCACCATTAATCACCATTAACCACCATTAATCACCATTAATCACCATTAATCACCATTAATCACCATTAATCACCATTAATCATCATTAACCACCATGAATCACCATTAATCATCATTAACCACCATGAATCACCATTAATCACCATTAATCATCATTAATCACCATTAATCATCATTAACCACAATGAATCACCATTAATCACGATTAATCATCATTAACCACCACTAATCACCATTAATCACCATTAATCACCGTTAATCACCATTAATCACGATTAATCATCATTAACCACCATTAATCAACATTAATCATCATTAACCACCATTAATCACCATTAATCACCGTTAACCACCATTAATCACCATTAATCATCATTAACCACCAACATGAATCACAATGAATCACAGTTAACCACCATTAAGCACCATTAATCACCATTAATCACCATTAATCATCATTAACCACCATTAATCACCATTAATCACCCTTAACCACCATTAATCACCATTAATCATCATTAACCACCATGAATCACCATTAATCACCATGAATCACCATTAGTCACCATTAACCACCATTAATCACCAATAATAACCATTAATCACCATTAATCATCATTAACCACCATGAATCACCATTAATCACCATGAATCACCATTAGTCACCATTAACCACCATTAATCACCAATAATAACCATTAATCACCATTAATCACATTTAATCGCCATTAATCACCATTAACCACCATACCATTAATCGCCAATAATAACCATTAATCATCATTAATCACCGTTAACCACCATTAATCACCATTAATCATCATTAACCACCATTAATCACCATTAATCATCATTAACCACCATTAATCACCATTAATCACCGTTAAACACCATTAATCACTATTAGCCACCATAACATTAATCACCATTAATCACCATTAATCATCATTGATCACCATTAATCACCATTAACCACCATTAATCACCATTAATCATCATTAACCAACATTAACCACCATTAATCACCATTGATCATCATTGACCACCATTAATCACCATTAATCACCGTTAACCACCATTAATCAACATTAATCATCATTAAACACAATGAATCAGAATGAATCACCATTCGTCACCATACCATGAATCACCATTAATCATCATTAATGATCTTTAGCGACCAATAATCACCATTAGACACCATTAATCACCATTAACCACCATGAATCACCATGAATCACCATTAATCACCATTAACCACCATTAACCACCATACCGTTAATCACCATTAATCACAATTAATCACCATTAACCACCATACCATTAATCACCATTAATCACCATTAATCACCATTAACCACCATACCATTAATCACCATTAATCACCATTAATCACCATTAACCACCACTAATCACCATTAACCACCGTTAACCACCATTAACCACCATTAATCATCATTAATCATCGCTAACCACCATTTAACACCATTAATCATCATTAATCACCATTAATCATCATTAACCACCATTAATCACCATTAATCACCATTAACCACCATTAATCACCATTAATCACCGTTAACCACCATTAATCACCATTAATCATCATTAACCACCACCAAGAATCACAATGAATCACCGTTAACCACCATTAATCACCATTAATCACCATTAATCACCATTAATCACCATTAACCACCACTAATCACCATTAATCACCGTTAACCACCATTAACCACCATTAACCACCATTAACCACCATTAATCATCATTAATCATCACTAACCACCATTTATCACCATTAATCACCATTAATCACCATTAATCACCATTAATCACCATTAACCACCATTAACCACCATTAATCATCATTAATCATCACTAACCACCATTTATCACCATTAATCATCATTAATCACCATTAATCACCATTAATCACCATTAATCACCATTAACCACCATTAACCACCATACCGTTAATCACCATTAATCACAATTAATCACCATTAACCACCATACCATTAATCACCATTAATCACCATTAATCACCATTAACCACCATACCATTAATCACCATTAATCACCATTAATCACCATTAACCACCACTAATCACCATTAACCACCGTTAACCACCATTAACCACCATTAGTTAATCACCATTAATCATCATTAATCATCATTAATCATCATTAACCTCCATTAATCACCATTAATCACCATTAATCACCGTTAATCCCCATTAATCACCATTAATCACCGTCAATCAGCCAGTTTCTAGCCACTGAACCGAGCTCGACCCCTCCGAGCCACGAAAAGCCGAGCTGCTGGGAGAGTTCTTGAAGGGCGCGATGGGACCCTCGGCCACCTCGGACAGCTGGCATGGCTTCATAGATATATATATATATATAGATAGATAGATAGGCATGTATTTATGTAATATATATATATATAATTTGTATTCACAAAGACATCTCAAGTTTTTGTGGCGTACGAAATCACATGCATACAGACATACACACACACACATATATATATATATATATGTATGTATATGTGGATGTGTTTGTAAATGTATATGTATACGTGTATGTAAAAAGTGTATATGCATATATACCCCACAACTCCTCCGACCTGCACATACGTTTAAATAAATGCATATGGAAAAAAACAAACTTCACCAACCTGAAATATACTGACGTAAGGCCATTTGGGGATGATTCCCTAAGATTGCCAACCATGATTCCAGAGACGTTGCAGCGGTCCTTATAATCCACCCAGAATATATTTTGTTCTCACTTATCAACCTCAACAATATCAGGTCACTTGGAACTGTCAAGCAACTAAGCCCTCGACCCTCCCTGCATGATTCTATAGCAGCTGTAGCAGTTACCATAATTCACAGCTGGCAGTTAGCAGCACGATTTCGTGAGACAAAAAACGTGACGGACGATACTTCACTTTTAAGGCACTGAATGCCAACAATTTCACTACATTGTCAAAAAAATGCGAAAGCTTCGCATCTCCAAGTCTCCAAGTTATGTTCAAGACTCAAGACAACGCTTTTGTTGTGGACCATGGGCAACGCAAACGTAGTTGCCACCCGGTTTGCCAGATTCCACCTAATCATACCCAATACAGAGTCCAGAGGGAAATCTTCCATGTAGACAAGTCAAATCGTGCTTGGAATGTCAGTATTGTGTCTTGGATTTCCTGCTGCTTTTCCCAGCGGCGTTCCTGCCAAGGACCAAATCGAACTTGGCTGGAATAGTCCCTTTAGAAGACACACCCAGTTTGTTGAATTACCAGATGATACCCTCTGGTAAATGAACATATGGAAAGTCACCATCTTTCACAGGTATATCAACTATTTCCATGGCCATTTTCAACAGCTATGTTAGTAATTACATCTAGATCATGATTGGACATATGGAACAATAATGGTCATTAATGGTCAATACCGGAAGGAATTTTACAAGTCAAACTTCCGACAATATGAACAGATGGAAAAGCAGAGGTGGGAAGAGACAGCGAAGCGAAGAGAAGAAGAGAGAAGATCAGAGAAGAAAAGGAATCAGAAGAAAGAAGATGCAGGCGCGCGAAAAGGTAGAAAAGCCCCGATTCACTGCGTTTTTCCTATGGTTTGTGTGGCTCCGGACGGTCGAAAAGTAGGCTCGCTAAAGCGGCAGATGCGGAGCCATCTGGCCAAATGAGAGATGAAAAATTGCACGCCCTTGTGGCGCGAAGCACATTTCGAAGTCAAGAGTGTTAAAAACTGACGTGCTGAAATTGGAAGTTGAGATGTCGAAAAAGCGCGCGCCGTTGTGGCGCAAAGCACATTTCCAAGTCAAAGGTGCAAAAAACTGAGGGGTTCGGATCACTTTTGGATGTTCAGATGTCGTTTTGCGTGGCAGGCGCACGGGATTTTGCACCTTGTCAACAATGAGTAAAACGTGAGGGTTTTGTAGCAGTTTCAAACGCGCTGGCAGGCGTGGGAGGCGCAGTACAAGAGACATATTCATGTTGGAGGTCAGGGCATTGATTTCCTGAGAGTGGTTGCATTTTGGAGCATCAGATCTTCAGGTTTGCTAAGATGATTTTGCGTGACAGGTGCAGCACTTCGTATGACCTGGCAACACTTTTTCGTGGCAGGCGCGCTACTTTAGACACGTGGAATGGCCGCAATGGTACGAGGCCGTCAGCTGTGCACTCAACTTACCATTTTTGAAAGAAGTCTTGCAGAATTGCTTCGTTTTTGATGTTGTCAACTTCGAAAATTGAGGAAGTCTCGCAGAATTGCTGCGTTTTCAAGCTTGCAGATAGACAGATTTAAAAAACAGATTGGTAGAAAGATAAAAATTATAAATACGTAGATAGGTAGGTAGATAGATAGATAGATAGATAGGTCGATAGATAGATAAACAGCAGCAACTACAACTACTACTACACTACATTACTGCTACAAATGCAAATACTACGCTACATTGCGTTACACTAATTACAATACACTACACTACACTACACTGTAATTACATCTAATTACATCTAATTACACTCCAATACACCAATCACACTACAACAACAACAACTACTACTACTACTACTACCACTACCACTACCACTACTACCACTACTACTACTACTACTACTACTACTACTACTACTACTACTACTACTACTACTACTACTACCACATCTACGACCACAATTGCAACTACACTACATTACACTACACTAATTACACGGCAGTACGCTACAACTACAAATACAACTACAACGGCGCTACATTACACAGCATTACACTACACCGATTACACTGCATTACACTACAACTACAGCTACAACTGCAACTACAACTACCACTACACTACACAGCACTAATTACACTACACTACACTACACTACACTACAACTCCACTACACTACTTTACACTGCACAAGCACTAGTACACTATACCACACTACAGTGCACAACACTACACCACACTACACTAGTTACACCGCACCGCGACTACAACTGCAACTGCGCTACACCACACTACATCCAGCAATCGTGGCGAGGTGACCACTGCAACCATTGCAACTCCAAAAAGCACAACTCCAACCACCTTTCGGTCCATCAGTGGAATCGCTCTGCCATCCGTGATTCACAACAACCAACCTCTCCTAAAGGTTTCCTAGTTTTGAAACTACCACCGCCGCCTTGCTCGGTACTGGTAATCCATACTAATCATAATACTTTCTAGATCATCATCATTATCACCCATAGGACCCTTGTATGCTATATATATATGGTAACATGTACCATCAATATACCCCAAATGTTAGCATATATCATACATGGATCCTATGGGTCAGTCTAGTGGGTACCCCTTATCGCGCTTTCTGATCCAACAGATCCCTGCCTTCCGTGCTTGCGCCACATGGTTTGCCATGCTGCTGCGCGACTCAGTTTCCTTCCGCTGATTTTTTTTAGGGCAAAAACGGGGGATGAACCCAACGGAAACTGGCAGAAATTTCACATAGCTATTGAACATGCGCCATGAAAGATTCATTCATAGATGATATTACACGCATGTTCAAAAACGATAATGCCTATTAAAGACGCATGTTCAATAGCTTTGTTAAATTACGAGAGATATACCTACTAAAGATAATGATATTCCGCGGCTATGTGAAATTACCAGAGAGATCCAAAGAGTACAAACTGCAAGTAAACCAACAAACATGTGGATAGAACCTAGAAACACGGGAGGTATGACCAGCAAACATCAGGATGAACACAACAATCATGCGATGTGGAATGGGGTTAAGTTGCAGGAGGAAACACCGGTGCAAGGTAGATCTCCAACACGCAAAAATGCTAGGAATTCAACAGATTTCAGCAGCAAGTCTTGGGATATGAACAAAACGTCAAAGATGAATAAATAATCCCTTCCCCCTATTACTAAACCTCCCCCAAATAATAAAAACTAGGGGCCATTTCTAATTTTGGAAAATTTCTGGTTGGCCAATTTGACTTTAAATTGATCCCCTTTAGAAAACAATTAAAAAATAAAGCTACCATTTGTGGGTTTCGCCCCCTAATACTAAAAACTAGTTAACCCCGGGCTGTTTATTATTAGGGTCCGTCCGAAAATTTTAGTTTTTTATATTAGGGCTCTTAATTTATTATTAGGGCCGACTTCGGAAAACCAATTTTTGGCAATATTTTAATTGCGTTCATTTCCTTTAATTGATTTTGAAATCGTTTTTTTTTGTTTTTTCATTAAGGGTTTCAATTTGTTATTAGGGCCCGCTTCGAAAACCAATTTTTGGCAATAGTTTGATTGCGTTACAAAAGGAAATTTTATTGAGTTTGAAATTGACAATTTTAGTTTTTTTTAAAAATAAGGGTTTGAATTTATTATTAGGGTCCGGGTTCCCTATAGTAAATACCACCCTAATAATAAAAACTACCTGAGGTGTTTATTACTTGGGGGGAGGGTTAGTATTAGGGGGGAAAATCCGCAGGATTTCGCCGTGGGGTGATGGGGTTCTTTTATGGCCATTCTTAATGGTTCTTCCCCTGCCACCTTATCAGATCATATAACAAACCATCCCCCTAAGATCAAATACCATGATCATTGTGGATACAAAAGTGTGAAGGGTGAGGGGATGATTCTTTATCATGTTTGTTCTATATTGATATGCTAACCTTAAGGGCCGAACCCCTTGTTGTGAATCGGACTGTTTCAAGCATCTGTTCTGGATGATTTGTTGTTTATAATTCAGTGAAGAATTCAAGAATTCACTGGAAAATTCCGCCAGTAGATCATTCCCCCAATCCAATTCTGAAGCATTCGACGGAAAACGATTCACCACCGCCCCCCGGTCCTGCCGCAGGCTGGTGCCAGGGGCCCCACCGTTCACTGACATCAGCGTCTGAAGCAGCTCAGGCACCTGACCCGTGAAGCAGCTGGCACCAGACCGGGCGCTCTTCCACCGGGCCAGGACTGGTGTTTTGAAGACCGGGGATCTTTTTCCGAAGGTTTGGAGGATAACCAAATTGAGTATAGGCATGCTGCCAGTGATGATATAATCCCAGAACCAACTCTGATTTTGCCATGCTAAGAGCAAAGAAATGACATTGCTTAACTGCACATCCAGGGTTTCCCCACTTCATGGTTAAAGTTTGAATGCTTATTTAGCTGCAATAATTTAATAGGTATCTCAGTGGATCTCAAACCAGGTTTCTTAAAAACAATCAAACATTCTTAAAAGTGTTGAAGCCTCCCCTTTTTCAAGTATTCTGGGAATCATCATGGGTAAATCACTGGGTATTTCACAAAAAAAAATAACTGAACAGTAGGCCATCACTGGGGCCATGGATTTTTATGCGACAATTTCCCATGGATGATCTTCCACCGCCCTTTTAAAAAAAGGGAAAAGCCCTATGAAAACCCAATAGAAGATCCAAATGACTCACAGAAGACCCCCGGCTTGATGAATTAATGCTAATTGTGGATTGATAAACAAAGTACTGTGGTAAAAATGAGTCACAAATGACTTTCAGGGATTAAATCCAACCATGAAAATAAACAGTTAAATCCAACCATGAAATTGATTTTTCTGGTCTAAATATGTCTAAATAATTATTATAAATCCAACCATTAAAATCTTTATTTGGACCAGGAATGTTCGTCAGGACACCGAAATCTTCAAATTGGTGGACAAGGACAGGCTCAGGGTCGGCACGCCACCTGGGCACTTCGCTCAGTGCCAAGTCGTGGATGCCCTGAAAAGTATTACCCTCTGGTAAACTAACACTTTGCTATGGAAAATCACCATTTTTAATAGGTATATATATATATAAATAGATTAACTTTTTCTATGGATATAAATGGACCCTCTATATCCCTCTATGCCATTGACTAACATAGATATGGTATTGATGGTCCATGTACGGAATATTTAACTACATTTACCACAAAAATGACCCAAATGTAGGTATATAAATATTCCATGCATAGAGCATCTGGGTATGGTATAGATGGTCCATTTATATCCATAGAAATGGTTAATTTACCTATTAAAAATTGTGATGTTCATTCATTTTCCATAGCAAACTGTTAGTTTACCAGAGAGGTAAGCCATACATAGCAATGACTAAGCTGGATCATAGCATCAATGTCCCCGTTTAAGATTTAGAACAATAGTTGGCTTTATAAAAAATGTGCTCACGGTTTAGGTCATGCTATTGCAAGTCGTAATTGGACCCATGCAGATCGTTGTGAGGTCGTTGCGATTTGAAGCTCAGCGCTGCTGCGAAAAAAGGGTTTACAAGCTGGACATGTACCCTCTGGTTATGACTAACAGTTTGCCATGGAAAATCACCATGCTATTAATAGGTAAACCATCTATTCCTATGGACCATTTTCCATAGCTATATATGTTAGTCATAACCAGATTCCATGAATTCCATGCCACGTTAGCTACGTTTTTTCAAAAAATCCCACCGTGGGGAGGTGATCGTAAGCCTGGCTTCACCGACATATGGATGGTATGTATTGATAGTTCTGGTTACTTTTACCCTCTGGTAATTTAACGTAGCTATTGAAAATGGCCCATTTATAGTGGATTTTCCCATTAAAAATTGTCATTTTCCATAGCTATGTTAAATTACCAGAGGGTACCAGTCGTAAGCGTGGGATGACTTGCTTAGTCTGACTCAATTCAAATGTCCTTTGCCAGTTGCTTTCCCTCGGGTCAAACGCCTGTTGCTTCACTACCTCAAGTGATCGTGACTTCACTACCTACATGCAAATTATGGGGGCTTCTGAAAATGGGATTCGCTCGACATAATATTCCAAAATAAAACAGTTTTAGTGTTTCAACCCATTGTTTTGGGGATCCACCATTTAGAAAAAACAAACATGATATATAGATGTTTGTCAGGTGCTTTTGGTAGTTTTAAAACATGTTTGTAGCATTTCTAACTCCTATCTTACCCATTGGTAAACTAACATAGCTATTGAAAATGGTGGCCTTTTCCTCTTGCCTGAGAGCCACCCCGGAATATCATAGCTATTGAAAATTGCCATAGATGGTTGATTACCATGATTTACCTAGTAAATATTGTCACTTTCCATGTGTTAGTTGATGATTTACCTAGTAAAAATGGTGATTTTCCATATCTTAGTTTGCCCACCCCATATCTTACTCCCTGTCGGCAGCACATCGGCAGATCCCAGAGACCCGCGTCCGACATTTCCAAGGAGAAGCCATCGACAGGTCCCATGGACACCTGAAACCCATTGACGATCATCCCAGCGACGGGTTCATGGTTTATAACTCCAATAACTATGGTTTACCATCTGGTAATATAACGATGGTTAATGATGGTTTATGATTAATGATGGTTATATAATGATGGTTAATAACTATGGTTTATGGTATACTTATAACTATAGTTACTGGGGATTATAAACCAACTTATAACTATGGTGATTTTCCATGGCAAACTGTTAAATAACCAGATGGTAATACTAAACATAGACTACCATCTGGTAATGACTAACAGTTTGCTATTGAAAATTGCAATAGAAAGAGTTGATTTCCCGCTAAAAATGGTGATTTTCAACAGCTATGTTAGTTTACCAGAGGGTATGATACGTAAATAACTATAATATTCATGGGGTTTATAAACCAGCTTATAACTGGGGGGCCCACATTGTGATATGTATGTATATATATATATATAGCTGGATATATCTGTCAATCGTTAGTGGGATATATAATATATAATACAGTATCCTTGAATATCCATGTCATGCATTTGGAATGGACATGTTCCATTAATACCCACCAATATCCGAAAACATGATTCCCATCATATATTTGGATTTTCTTGGCAAATCAAAAACATGGGAGCCTTTGGACATGAACATATAGGAAGCATTTGGACATGCACATGTTTTTCGTGGGGTATACTGGGATATGTGATATGCAATGGAATACAGTATGTTGGGAAATGATTGGTGGGAAAAAAATGGATTCTATGGGATATAACTAAGATTTTATTGTGATATACCCGCTGGTGTCATCTATCATAGTTAGACCATATCCAAACCATATCCAAACCATATCAGTTAGTGCATTACGAGCTCTGATTTGGGTGGATCTCAAGCTGTCTTTAGACAAATGTTTGTCCAGCTGAACCTGCGAGAAAACAGAATAACACCTTGAAGAAAATAACGACCAACAGATTTTTCAGTAACTTATACAACCCCATGCTTATGATGTTTATAATATATACTGTATATATATATAATTTGCATAATTATAGATATATATATATATACATATGTATCTAGTTAAAATCAACCATTCCAATTTATTGGAAGAAACCATCCCATTTTTACTGTAACAAGATATTAGTTCAGTACAGTAGCTCCCATGTTTCTTGTCCGATTGTTTTGAGCCATCACCAACTCAAAACAGTACCAGGTAGTGATATGTCGAGCAGAGCCGGATTGAACAGGCTCCAGCTGACCAAATCCGTTGCTCGGCCCTGCATCTTTCCTACCCTGGGCGAGGATTGGTCTGTGGGCACTCAACGGCCCACTTAGAAATGAATGAACGTCAAGAGGGATCATCGGATCGGCTTTAGGGGTAGAAAATGACACCACCAACGAGTTACAGTACGTAACTAAATGTGGTGAACCAGAGGAATTCATAATTGGTTTTGCCATATATTAAATTAACCACAAAGTACAGCTAACCAAACGCGTAACTTTAGATATCTTGCAAACATTAAACAATCTTGAGCTGGGTAGTATACATCGCAACTTTTGGCAAAACATACTTGGCCCACTGAACTACGCAACCAAGGTTGACAAGTTTTCAGATGGTTTAATATCTCTTCTCTCTCCCCCTACCGCCATTTGGCTGGTTGCTCTGGATTTTTTCCGGTTGCCCCTTCCCGTCATCCGGCCTGAACCGGCACGTGCACCATGTTGCGTGGAGCGCGCAGGTACGCGCCGAGCAACGGTGCAGGGCGGTACGGGTGGTTTATTTTCACTCGAGCCAAGCGCCAGTCTCGAGACAGAACATGGGTTTGTTGGCGAAGTTAAATGCAAATAACTCATACGTCACTAGGGTTCATGGTAGATATCATATTTGTTGACTGGGGTGAAACACCAACAAACATGACTTAGATGGATTTAGACGGTATAAAGCGACACACATAGCTAGGGGGGGAGCCATCTTGCAGGATGGCTGCAAATTTGCCAATGATTTACCTTTCTGAAATTGGGACATCCCATTGAAATCAATTCTAAGGACCCCGCAACATACCTGGTTTATCTGTTCATGTTAGGGTTTTTCCAATGGGAGGTTTATGATGAGGAGAGTGTGAATACTCTCAGGTCTCTCTGTTGAAACCGGCAACCGGTACGCTTAGATAAGGAAAAAAGTGATTTCTCTCTGACAAACCATCCATTTGTCAATCCCCATAAACGAGGTTTGACCCAATGAGACTCATACCCGCAAAAAACAACTCCATCCTCGGCAAATTCGTTTAAAGAATCCGATTTCAGAAATACGGCATTGGCAAGGCAATTTTACCATGGTTTCCCTAGGTTTCCCTTTGTAGCCATCATAGAGCTGTTACAGTATGAGGTTACTAGAATTATCTAGAATTTACCGTCTGCATGATGGTCGATCTTATAATAGAACCGCCATGACCAGCTAGTCTCATCCCATCTGAACAAATTTTAAGTCCCCAGCAAAATGGTTGGATATGGTTGGTTAAATATTGTTGATTATCATCCAACAGTTGTTAATTTGTTGATTAATGGAGGTTTCCACTTCATGGATCATAGCAATCACCCAACAAAGGGTGGCGCTTGCCACCTGCTCACCTCGTCCTGAGTTGGACGAGAATATTCATAGTATGTATGTATGTTCCAAAACATATCCCCTAAAATGGTTCGGCGGTTGTAGAAGATTAATTAGGTATGGTTACCATCCCCAGTCAGGGGTGGTTTATGACATCGTTTTACCCACATCAACCACTACTAACATCTATTCACCACTTTTACCATATGATCATTAATATCAGTTAATATCTATTAACCACTATTAACCAACATTAACCATTCCCAGTCATGGCATTTTGGAAAGCTACGCTTGGGCACGCGCTCACCACCTCGTTCCACCCGCCTGGTGCGTCGCTGCACCCGTGGGCGGAACGATGACCCGGATGACCTGCCTTCGGCTGCGGCGATCACGCGGCCGATCACCGGATCGCGCCTCGGAAACGGAAACTAAGCAGGAAATCCCTACTTGATGGAAAACAACATGGAAAAAAACATGAAACACCTTATATAGTTTCAGCTTTGGCTTAAACCCCCGTGATTTCAATGTGTGCTTCTTTCTTGAGTGGTCCCACATTTAGAACCTAACAAGTCAAATTCCATGTGTCTGGTATAATTGCCGAAACTGGAGGTGCAAAATTTGAGGTATGTAAGGTCTATGTCCGCAAACATTCCCCTAAAAGGGCAGAGTATCTCTCCATTCTAAGGAATTGCATTGGCCTTGGTGTTCGACAAAGGTGTGTCTTTTTTCCTTCTCAAAGTAGACCTGTGAAACAACTTATAAAATACTGGTAATCAAATACCAGCATGGCAATGGAAGATCCATCATTTATAGAGCATGTTCTTTATTTTCCCCTGAGCAGCTCCATTTAGCTAGTAGATCTGACAGGTTTACCATCCAGCACGAAGCAACCCATTCTTCAGGATGCTCAGCGTCAAATGGCAGCAATCTGACAAGGCATGGGACAATTTGGTGCATGTTCCACACAATTCTGTTCGACACAATTGTTCTTCAGATTTTAGCAGTTTGCAATGGAACATGACCCATTTCTTGATGATTTACCGATTAAACTTGGGCATTTTCCATGGTGGCAAACTGTTCAATTACCAAAGGTTAGCCCTCATTTTCGATGGTTAAAGCACATTAAATCCAATGCACTATATACATTCCGCCAAGATCCCACTATTCCGATGAATATCACATTTGATCCTAGTAAAATCACCATTTTACCAATGAGTTTCGCATGAAAGCCGGGGAACGCATAGCCATCCTCTATGAGCTTTGGAAGGTAGTAACGCTCCAGCGCAACCTGACTGCCATGGTCAACAATAAATGGAGGTTTCTTAAGTCATGGGGGATCCCCAGGCGTCACCATGGCTTAATCTATGCTAACATGGTCATCCATGCCGACTGGATGATTTGGGTGGATCCACATGACTTAGAAAACGACGTCCATTTTTTGATGGAACACATGGGATAACATATCAGGAAAAAAACGGAGAACAAAACATGATTTTCCACTTGTTCCATTGAAGAACAGCTATAGGTACACTGCATGCTATATATGATGACATTTACCATCAATATACCCCAAATGTTAGCATATATACCAGCACCATG